GCCCGCCCGCAGGGCAGGTTCCGCCCGGCCTGAGGAGAACCCGCCTCCCCTGGGCGAAGGGCAGCGGGGAAGCCACTGGAACAGCGACCTCTCGAGGATGGAAATAAGGTACTACCTTATTCTGCTTCATTGCAATCTTTTTAAAGATGTATGAAACATTATTTCCTGCCCCCTTAACACCAGCCAGGGCTCTTTCTATAAAAAAAGCCAAGTCAAGATATAGTCCCCTTTTCCCATCCTGCCCCAGCAAAGGTATCTTTGTATGATACAGAAGTATCTTGTTTCCTTCAATAAAACAGTATGACAATGTTAGCTTTAGAAAAAAAAGTTGTAATTACTAGTACATCATTTTCTTTTCTTTCCTTTCATGTTACTTACAATCAGCAATTATGATGCTTAATTTTAAATCCCCATATGATAAAATTCAGCATCTCAGTCTTGTCTAAAACTATTGCAATGCATTTCTTGCTCTTAAAATATGGAAATAACTATACATTCAAAATAAAAGCATTGTAATTACATACATAACAGCATACTCAAACAAATAGAAGACTTCTAATCACTTTATTTAGACACATTTTGTGTTTTCCCTGTCAGTTTTGACAGATGGGTGCAAGAACATTAGCTGTCCTGCATTCCATTTTCATAATTGTACAGTAAGCCACAGCAGAATACAAGCCGGAGAAAAGTTTAGTCAGCACTTTCCATTAATTGATAGTGACAATACTATTTTGATTTGCTTGCACTATGCTTATGTACACCAACCCGCTCTGGGAGAGGACTGCAAGTTAAATGTAAGTTACTAGTATGAGCGAATAGCAGGCGGGACAGTTGAACAGTCTTCTTCATTCAAAGTTCTGTCAATCACAGGTCTATATTTCAAGGTAACCTAAAGTAAAAGAGAACAAAGAACTTTAAGCCAAACAAACCTCTTGTATCTAAACGAGACAGCCTAGCTAACAGGAATGACTGAATAACACAGATAACTGAATAGCTTCATTGATGTTAAGCTAATTTCTCCATTATTCTTTTCCTTCCATAGAAAATGAACACTTAGTAACCTACAAGGAACATTTAAGTTCCATCAAGTTACCACTGACTGAATTCCTTAAAAGCAAAGCCTGACCAGAAATGGTATCAGAAGACTACTACTTTAAAAAGACCTTTTGGACAAAAGTAAAGTTTTGGCTAAGATTGCTAGTACCTAGTTCTTTAAGCTAGCAAAGTTAGGAGACAGAACCATGTCACTCTCTTTTTCCATCCTCAGCAGCTGTTCAGGAAGTGAAGTGTTCTCACCTGTCCTCAAACTAGATTCAAGGAAGCTCGAACCAGGGGAGAGGAAACAAAGCAGATGCAGAGAATGGGATACAAAAAACAACACTCATGATTTTTATAGGGTCATATTTGAAATACCATAACTTTACACTGAACACCAAGAACAGGTTTTGCCACCATCAGAGAAAAAGAAACAAGCTTTCGAACTAGCTTGATACAAGGGGAAACACAGTTCCAGCTCAAATCGCAGTCACTTGCCCAGTGATCAACAGTAACTTACCCCAGTTATGACTACTGTTCAACAACAGAATAAATGTTCAATTTTTTTTTTTTTTCCCCTCTAAGTACACTAAACTATCAGGTACCTCAGACAGTGACAATCATTTTTTTTTCCCCTCTAAGTACACTAAACCTATCAGGTACCTCAGACAGTGACAATCATTTGCAGTATTATCATGATATCAAGAGCTGTCTATGAGAGCAGCTGTCTGTTGACAGTGAGAAAGACCCTCAAGCATCAGGCTCAACGTACCTTCCCAGATGGGACATCCACATACGAAAGGGTGTGCTTTCTCCAGTGCTCTTCAAATGGCTTCTGCTGTTGGCCTTGGAGCGGCTTAGAATAGTCAAACTCATCTATCCGTAACTAAGGAGAAGATTAGGTTAGTATAGAACAGAAATTACATCTGCAAATCACTTTACCACCACATGATTAGTTGCATTCCAATTACAACTGTAACACCATGTGTCTCCTAATAGCCAGCAAGCTTTATCTTAACACCACCCGTGTCAAATTCTAAATACTGAGGCTTAACAAGGGCTTTAAGGTAATGTTCCTTGTATAGGACAATTATTCTGCTTGAAGTCCTGTTTATGCATTCATGACCTTATTATTACTGTAGTCCTAGTTTAGACCTTTCTAATCGTTCGGATGCACACGTGGAACAACTCTTCTCTCAAGATCGTTACCCAATGCTGCATGTATTGGTCATTTTATATGTAACAAATAAGAACAGATAAAACAGAGCAGATGGGACCCCAAACGAATACTACACTAATCTTAACTCAAGACTCTGAAGAAATTACAACTTTTAAGTAATCCGTCCGAGGACACATAACAAGGAAGTTCAATCCTACATCCAGGTCACAGAAAATATTTATACCTTATAGTCCTCTCTGGCATGAGCACCCCGGGACTCTTTGCGAGCCTCAGCACCATAAATTGTTTGTAGAGCACAAAGCATCAGGTTCTGCAGTTCGAGGGTCTCCACCAAGTCAGTGTTCCACACAATACCTAGTAAAATATTAAAATACTATGGAAGATGTTCTACAAACAAGTTACACAAACAAGTTGGGCGGGAGTGTTGATCTGCTCGAGGGCAGGAAGGCTCTGCAGAGGGACCTGGACAGGCTGGATCGATGGGCCGAGGCCAACTGTATGAGATTCAACAAGGCCAAGTGCCGGGTCCTGCACTTCGGCCACAACAACCCCATGCAGCGCTACAGGCTTGGGGAAGAGTGGCTGGAAAGCTGCCCAACAGAAAAGGACCGGGGGGTGTTGGTCGACAGCCAGCTGAACATGAGCCGGCAGTGTGCAGGAGCAGGGAAGTGATCGTGCCCCTGTACTCGGCCCTGGTGAGGCCGCACCTCGAATACTATGTTCAGTTTTGGGCCCCTCACTACAAGAAGGACGTCGAGGTGCTGGAGCGTGTCCAGAGAAGGGCAACGAGGCTGGTGAGGGGTCTGGAGAACAAGTCTTATGAGGAGCGGCTGAGGGAACTGGGGTTGTTTAGCCTGGAGAAAAGGAGGCTGAGGGGAGACCTCATCGCTCTCTACAACTACCTGAAAGGAGGTTGTAGCGAGGTGGGTGTCGGTCTCTTCTCCCAAGTAACAGGTGATAGGACAAGAGGAAATGGCCTCAAGTTGCGCCAGGGGAGGTTTAGACTGGACGTGAGGAAAAATTTCTTTACTGAAAGAGTGGTTAAACGCTGGAACAGGCTGCCCAGGAAAGTGGTTGAGTCACCATCCCTGGAAGTATTTAAAAGACGTGTAGGTGAGGCGCTTGGGGACATGGTTTAGTGGGCATGGTGGTGTTGGGTTGACGGTTGGACTCGATGATCTTGGAGGTCTCTTCCAACCTTAATGATTCTATGATTCTATTCCTCAATTTACTTCTGTCCTATTGCTGATACTTAGAATCGAACAAGCCAATGCTCTACCTACTGCAATCTTGGTACTCTACTACACTGAATTACTCACTATTGCCTGCAAGGCTCTGTAACGATTCCTACACCCTAACAATCGTAATGAATCTTAGAAAAATTCAGTAGTTCTACCAGGTGTCCCTGTTGCATGTGTACTACTGAGATAAAATTACACCATAGATTCTTGCCTGCTTTGTATCATACCTACAACTCAGTCCCCATACCTCATTTTGGATCACAAGATCTGGCTAGATGGTAGCTCTTTAAGTAGATCCCTAGCAGATCCAGACAACAGGGCTTTCCCTTCCTTCCCACCCTCAGAGAAGGGGGAAAAAAAACCCCACCTGCTAGTTATATGAGGTGGTTCTTCATTTAAGTATCCTCAAGGTGGACCCAAGTTCACTTACATGAATGTATCATCATTTTGATCCCTACATTCTAAGCTGTTGTAACACTTTTCTTGATGCTTGGCGAGAGCTGTCCAAGAAAGCCAGTTGTACTTTCAGTGTTAGGATACACATCCAATAGCAGTAGTTGGAGAGAAATACACAACATGAGTGGACAAAAGGTACATCATCAGTTGTACTTAATTAACCAAGTTCTCCTAAGATACTGCCATATCTTGCAGTGTATCTGTATGCAGCGCTATCTGTTCAGCTGAAGAATGAAAACTGAGTGTTCAGCCTAGGAATAGTCTTGCCACCTTTTTGCAACTCCCTGGCCTTTTCAGAAGATACTAGTGGTTCATCTTAGTATTTTAACAACTTCACATCATGTTCTGAGAGAACAGCACTTAGTACCTTATACAGTTACATCTGTTTTCAGCCTCTGCTTCTTTGAGAGAGTCTGCAACCAGAAAATTACCAGTAAGATCAAGTACTTTACTGATTACCATGTTTAGCAAGTAGGGCTCTACAAAGTATTTTGAAAGATGGTCAAAGCCTTTAGCCAAAGTTTCAAGAAACACATAAGAAGGTTTACAGAAGAAAACAAACACTTTTCCCAGAGAGTACTCTGGCCAAGGTGTATTCTTTGCTATCAAATTACCTCTGTCAAATGTCTTTAGATGAGCCAGATCACCATAAATTTGGCCAAGTTTTTCACAGCCTTCTTGGAGTACAGAACCAGTACGAAATACAGCAGCATGGTTTTGCATTGTCTGCAAGGTAGTAAAACAAAATCAGTTTGATATGCTGCATATACATAATATCCCACGTAACTTATTAGTTCCAAGAGAGCTTAATATAGAGCTGTTTTGACTTCCAGCATGCCTGCAGCCTGAAGAAAAAACATTCTTCTGTTCACCCCAAACAGAGGCAACCCCACTCTATTATACAGTGAGTAAACTACCCAAGAGGAATAACCATGAAGGGGAGAAGAAACTAACAAAACTGATAACAGCCTTTGCTGAGCACAGACAATCTTCTCAGACTGCTTTTTACTTCTGCAAAGCAAATCCTGAAGCGTACTTCACAAAGTGACCAAACCACCTCCGTGGCTTGCAGCTTCTCCCACCTTATACTTGAGAGCTTCACCAGGCTTACCTTCTGCATGTTAAGTCGCACTTCTGAAGTTCTTATGGTTCCATCAGCAAATCTTAATTTGTCAAGATTAGCAACTGACTCTTCACCAGCATTTGGTTTAATGGAGGGAACTGGCTCTCCTAATAAGAAAGTTTCAGTAAGTTTAGTAGGTCGGGCTTGGTTTTGGTTTCTGGCAGTTTCATAGACTAGCAACTACTAAAAGTCAGATTTCACTACAACACAATCTGTTTTCTTCCTCTGTGGTACAGGTTAACTGTAACTTTCCTGAACTCCCACCAATAGCATCCATACACTTAAAAATAGAGTTCTCAGTGCAATACATGAATCACATTCTTTCCTGTGACAGTTAGTAGGGAATTTATAGGTTTGGCTAAATTCTGCTGTTAATTCCTTAAAAACAGCACTTGATGCAAATTCTTCTAAACTACGGAATAAGCTTGTGGCTCCTTACCACCTTCTCCTATACTTTCCTTGTCTCCTCACCCCCAAACCTCCCACCCTCTCTTGGATCTGTTAAGGGACCAGGGACCAGTCAATAAGCTTTGCAGTTACACGTGAGCTCTGCATCTTACCTCTAATACTGGAACCCATTTGTTATTGGGTAACAAATCAAACACAGCACCTTACCAGCACACTCCATCTCTCCTGTAGCTTTGCATTCAGACTAATAAAAACCTTCCTGCAACTTCAAAGGAGCCACAGAAAGACTAATCCAAATAAATGTTCGCACAAAGCCAGAGCCAATAGGCATTGCTAGATCCAAGCTGATTCCGTCAGGAACCATTACTCTGTGCACTTTGTGCAGAGTCAGACTGAAAAAACAAACAGTCTTATTAATTTGGACATTAAGCAATGAGAAAACAGATGACTACTACTGGACTTGAGCTCCTCTGGCGATATAACTGCCTCTTACAGTATTTTGCTGGTTGGTTGTTTTCTTTTTTCAGCTCAGTAACTGTTGCTGAACCAGATTATTTAAAAATAACGTTCAGCAGTGAAAATCCACATACAGGGGATGAGATGTTATGATTTTTAGTATCTATCTCTTTTTTACATATGCAGTCCACCTTATAAATCAACAAGGTGGCAGCAAATTCCACTATAACAAAGTGCCAAGTGTAAGGCAGACTACATTTTGATGTAGAAGATGCAGTGCAGGATGTAGAGAAGTCAGTCTTCATACTCAATATTTTCTGTTTTGCTAGTTTGTGAAAAATCAACTCAACTGTTTCTGCTGATAGCATTGACCCAATTCTAGCTTTAAGATCAACTCACAAAGCAAATGTTAATGACAAGCATTTGCATCGCAAAGAATATGCCTATAAAAAGCATAAACACCGATTTCTGCCTTTTCTAACAAATAAGAGTCTATGTCTAGCATTCTGAGTTTGAATTAGGTAGCAACAACTCTGTTGGGCAAAAATGTAATCATGAAGGCAAATGTCTCTAAAAAAGTGAGACAAACTGTGAGACTTACCAGGCTTGCACGTCTCTGCAATAGTAAGGGCACAAGCACGACCAAAGACCACCAAATCTAGAAGGGAGTTTGCTCCAAGTCGATTTGCGCCATGGACAGATGCAGAGGCTGCTTCCCCACAAGCATATAAACCAGGTACCACTTTATCCTCACCATTCACATGTGTAATCACCTATCATTTCAGACAGTCAATTAATACTCATCTGTTAAACAGTTTCTAACAGTGCAAACCTCCTTATTTGCAAAGGCCATGTGCATGTAAGGATGAGACAGAGCAATCTAAAGTTTTCTCCAACTCCAAAACTGTAAATACCTTAGTTCTAAAGGGTAAGTAGTAATACTATGTAAATACAGATGCTTATATAAATACAGTTATGTTATGAAACAGAACCATGTACTCTTCATCACAATTCTGCAGCAAGTCAGAAAAGCACAGGAAGAAAATCTGATCTGCACACATTTCTAAGGCAGAATTTCACATTAAAAAATTAACAAGTACAATACACTGAAACAGAAAAATTCAGCTAACATCATCACATTGACTTCTAACTAGTAGGAGTTGACGGAATCTGCTTTAGTGTAGAGATTATATGAGGTACAGAGAATTAATACACATTAACTTGAGTTACAGATTGTAACAGAGCCCTAGTTTGATCCCTGTTCAAGTATATATTACCATCAACTTGATAAACAGAGAATTGTTGTCAGACATGACAGTAACTTCATTTTAGATGTTTCTTGGAACTCCCATCTCCAGGCGGGCTGGAACACGGCTCTCAAGTTATTTACAAAAACAAACCAGATTGTGTGTTTTAAGTACTCTGACATCATTATTATATTATTATTATTAAGCTAATGTTATTCAGCATCCTTACATTTATGAAAAACATTGTTAATGCTCTTATATTTGGAAAATCATTTCTTATTATCATGCTGGAAAAAAAATCCTAAAAGTGATCTATTACTTACCTGTCCTTTGTAGTTAGTAGGAATACCTCCCATATTATAATGCACAGTAGGCAGAACAGGAATAGGCTCTTTAGTGACATCAACTCCAGCAAATATCATAGCTGTTTCTGAAATTCCTGGGAGACGGGTTGCTAGCTGCTGTGGTGGTAAGTGGTGCAACTGCAAGTACACGTGGTCTTTTTCAGGACCACAACCCCTACCAAAAGAAAAAAACCAAAAAACCCACCAAGTCAACACTGGAACACATAACAAGAATTCTGCAAACACCAGTAACATTTCTAATCCAATTTGTTTCGTTTGTGAAAAATTAACTTCTAATTTTTTCAAAGGTTATCTGACAAAAATTAGTATCTAGCATATTTAAGACTGTTGAACCTGGCAGATTTACGTGTAGTTTTCACCTCCCAGCTTTCTTTTCACAATAATTCACAGTATTTAAGACTTTAAATCACTGTATCACAGCAGAAATATGTAAGAATTGAAGATGATTAATCAAGAGACCAGAGCACCAAATTATTTCCATTGTTTGCAGTAAGAACATATACATTAAACTTGTTTAAGCCACTGTCTCTAGACACACCAAATTCAAACAGGATACTCCTAGCATCTTGTGTTCCCTTTTAGTATCATTAGGAATTAACAAGTAAAAATTTTGCCCTACATGCAGTGTTCAGCTAACAGTTATGAAAGCTCACTTCCATGAATTACCAGGGGTTTATCAAATGAATTATTGTACCACATATAGTCTAGTATGATTAAGTATTCATTCTGCAGCTTCATTAGAATATTTAACTAACCTTCCTTCACGGATTTCTATGGTCATAGAACGAGATACTACGTCCCTGGAAGCCAGATCCTTAGCAACAGGTGCATATCTCTCCATAAATCTTTCACCTTGACTGTTAATTAGAATACCTCCCTCTCCACGACATCCTTCCGTTATAAGGCAGCCAGCCCCATAGATACCTGTGAAGAAAGGAAATAACCACCAAAATGAGATGGTCTCGTGACAGCTTCGTAATCAGGACGACCGGGATTGAATAAACAAGGTCTTCTTAAAATAATGCGGAGAAGTGACAGGGGTAGATTTAATTCCACCCTAATCACACCACTAGTAACTGTCCCCCAAGACTGCTCAGAAACAAGTATTGTTATTCCTTTCAAACACTCTTCCTGGAAGGTAAGCAAGTTGATTTGGAACACCCACGGTATCTAAAATACTAGAACTAGAAGAGATCTGCACCCAGCAATACGTAAGGAGACTTTAACAAAGATTTTGTAGACCTTCAGCAATTACTTTGTTCAAGATTTTTAAGTAAACCAGAAGTTGATTATCTCAAGGCCAGTTTGCTCATGTTTGTCCCCTCTTCTCCTGTGCTAAGGCAGTACAGGATGGCTTCAAATAGTGTGGAATGCGAAAGCTTACTCAGTTTTCTTTCCTTTTAGAGAAGGAAGGCCTACCTGTTAGCCTTCAGCACTGGTCATCATAGAAAACAAAAATGCTAACCAACTCATGCACTTGATAATTCCATAGCTTTTAACATAATTATCAGACAAGCAACGAAGTTTCTTTGACTAGAAAAACCTTAGCTAAGTCAAATAAGCATTGGATCTCTATGATATAACAAGGATAACATTGTAAAATTAAGTGAACAATTTTAAAAAATCACCACTTATCACAAGTTAAAACTGAGCATTTATTTAGCTACAACCAAAAAAGCAGCTCTTCACTTTTTAGTCTGTGATCATTGTTGTCCACAGTTTAGATACTGATCCTGTGCTACAAAACCTAGTCCTAAATATCTAACTTTACTTCAACTACCCCACTTCCACAAAAGATTCTAGTATATTAACTCCCTAACACTTGCATCTATCCCATTGCTCCTGTGTCTAATATCAAACCCTTTAACATTTCCTCTTGCCTTTAAAATATAAGTTTAAGAGGTGAAGTGGTTTCGACTTGAAATTCATAAAACCCGTTAGTATGGTAGAGACAGCACCTTAAAATATTTAACACTGACCTTTAAATTAGAACAGCTCAGACCTCTCTCTCATATTGTAAGTCTTACTCTCAGATTTATTATCCACAGCAGTTGCAGACAAGTCTGAACACCTGTCACAAGCAACTGAATGATGATGATACTGAATGATAATGAACTAACAAAGTGCTGCAGAAAAGTGCAAACTGATTTGAGCACATTTTAAAAAACAAAAAAATCTGTTCAAATCATTAAAAATAATGTTGTAAGTATTATTTCATATTCTGTACCTGTAGGGTGAAACTGTACAAATTCTAAGTCCTGGCAAGGAAGACCAGCTCGTGTGACCATAGCAGTGCCATCACCCGTACTAGTATGAGCAGATGTACAACTGAAGTACGTGCGGCCGTACCCACTACAGGAGACAAAAGTTAACAGAATTAGCAGTCCAAAAAACAAAGTCACCAGAACATATCACTCAACTATGCTCTTTGCACAACAGTGGAAGTAGAGCAGAGGGTTAATAAGCAAGATGTGCAAGTTTTGCCATCTCCTGTACTAAGTTCAACCAAAAGAAAACAAAATTGGTATTGCCCTGTTATGCTCAACCATATTTGAAAAACAGCTGGTGATGGAAGGTCCAAGAAAAAGAAGAACAATTCCAAAGCAGGATAGTTAGGTTAGTATCAGAAGCCTTTTTGCCAGAAAAAAGTTACTTTAGGAAGTTCTCTCAATCCAATACCATTAGACTTCATTCAAACTATTACTAGCAGTTTTATCAAAAATAGCATATAAGAATGGTTTATATCCTCGATATGGCCCTGATTTCATATTCTTAGATTTCAAAACTTAGTGGTCTAAAATTAGGTATTAAACATGAATTCTTATGCCTAAACCAAATAGGTTAGCTTCCAGAGTTATTGAGAACTGCCAATACTCCCAATTTCAGGACAAATTCTCAGAAGAAATATCAATCTACATATTGTATGTACCTCAAAGTACACAAGTATGAAAACAGCCTCAGCTTTAATAAAGCCAAATTATGTAGGCAACCAAACTAAGTTGTTGGGGTTTTTTTGACAGATATGTTTATAAATATTTTGCATACTGAAACAGATAGGAGACAGCCATAAGCAGCAAAAGACTAATGCATATAGTATTCTAACAAACATATATAAACTTTTGCAACCAAGTAATGTTAAGTTAGACTCATCTCCTGATAATTTCATCCTACAACAATGAGACTTATCATGTTAGTATCTTAACGTAATAGGTTCTCCAGAATTTTGAAAAAAGCTGTTTCCTACAGGAAACTCAGAATCCTACAGATATACACGTTGGTAGCACTGCAACGATGTCTGTTTTAAACAGCACATTTTAAAAATCTAAGACCATTTGGACCATACATACTGCTCTTACACATTCCAACTTTATGTCATTGTTCTAGAATTCAAAGTTAGATCTCGTACTAAATTTATACTTGGTCACAAAATTAGTATGTGCCTTCTTTCAGAGGCAATGACTGAATTCAATTGTACCGCTTTTGATCAAAGGCGGGGGGAAGAAGAGCATATAAATTATGTTTTTCAAGTCAACATGTTATCTCCACACTATGGATTCAAATACATGTACAAACACACAGACTTCCAACTAGTAGCACTCTCAAGTTTCTGTCGTTCATCATAAACCTTACATTACCCAGTGGCAATGACAGTGTTGTTTGCTCTAAAACGATGTATAGTGCCATCTTCTATGCAAAGGGCAATAACACCACGACATTCTCCATTTTCCATAAGTAGGTCCAAGGCAAAATATTCAACGAAATAGCTTGTATCATATCTCAGAGACTGGAGAAAAAAAAAAAAAAAGAACTTTAAGAAAAATCCAGAAACTGAAGTAACCTCTCTTCAAAACTGTCAATGCATATGGGCTTCATCAGGATAAAAGCCACCCCCACCAACTTTCAGGGAAGCGCGTTTCCTCACAAATCTTTATAAAAATCTGCTAATGAATCTATTCTAGCTTAAAGAGACACAAGTAGTTACCAAACCAAACCACTTAATTCTGAGAAGTCATAGCTTGTCAGCAAGGCTTGTTATTTCCCTCTGCATTTGGCAACACTTTAGTCAGCTGTGGTGCTTGATACATGTACAAGCATGTCTTACTTAACCTCTCGCAGAGAAGCGGAATATGTCTCCAGGAGCCTAATATATCAGCAGAAGCAGCGGGCATCAAGTCAAACATTCTTTCATGCCCTCAAGGATCAGACCAGTGTTTGGCAGCACTGAGCATTTGTGTTGCAGCAGCATATATAGTGTGAACCTGAAGGAGAGCAATTAGCTAGCTACCAAGTAAATAACATTAGCTACTAGGTACTGAATTTCAGGTTTCAAGTAGCTTACTACCAGTTTAAAATAGCCAAATCTTTCTTCAGTTACTGTTTGTAGAATTGATAGAAACAGATGCTGGAACACAAGTCACTTGCTGTAGAGCAAGCTCAGAAATGCACAGTAGGCCTTCATGCATTTACACCTCTTGTTTCCCCCCTGTCTGAAGATGAGTGAAAGAAAACGCTGCCTTGTACCTCTTTTTAGAGTTCCCCAATGCTGCTGTGTCAGACTTTTTTCAAAGAAGTTTTTTGGGGGAAGTTTAATTCTTTTTGGGTCTAGTTAACAGACACGAAAGTATTAACAGTGAAGAACTACTCCAGACCACAAAGCTAAAAGGGTACACTAACAGCTGTTGTCTTCATGAGAGCCATTATAATTACGATCTTTCAATTTATTCTGTTTCTGCATACTCCTGACAAAAAACAAGCATCATCTAGGCTACATTCTTCCACATTGCCTTAGGAAGGAAGGAAATCCAGAATTGTTATCAGTCATTCCCCTGGATTCCTCATTGATGTGTGAGGAATGTTGATGTGTTTTGTTTGTTTTTTCTTCAAACTCCAGGGGAGAAAAAAAAAAATCATTAATTGCAAATACAAAAACCCAAACCAAGTTTACGTCACAGCTGCTTACCCTGCCATACAGAGTATGTAACAGTGAGTGTCCTGTCCTGTCTGCAACACAACAGCATCTGTGAGCCTGTCCCCCTTTTCCAAACTGAAGACTCTGTCCACCAAACGCACGCTGATAGATTTTTCCTTCTTCAGTTCTGCTGAACGGCATCCCATAATTTTCCAGCTGTTGAACGCAAATACAAGCATCAGAAACTCTTCTGCATAACAATCCAACAAGTTATTTTACTACATTCCAAGTAAGGAGATCTCTTTGGAAGCTAGTCTGTATTATAAGTAATTATAGTTGACATCAGTTCCAGCGAGTCTCACCTCTATCACCGCAGCTGGGGCTTGCTCAGTCATGTAGTGTATGGCATCCTGGTCACCCAGCCAATCAGACCCTTTCACTGTGTCATAGAAATGCCACCTCCAGTTATCATCCTCCATGTTTCCCAGAGCAGCATTGATTCCTCCCTGAAAATGCATTTTCCTGGAATTATATTACTGAAGTACAGTTTTAGTAGGTTTTCCTCACTTCTGTTAAAAATCACATACCATCTATGCCTCTGTGTACAAGAAATACAGTAAAATCAGATTTAAAATGGCTATGAAAAACCTGTGCAATTTATCATTTTCACAATGGCTCTTATTTTGTTCTGCTTTGCATAACAATGAATTGCAAAGTTACACTGAATGCAATGAAAAAGCACTGAACGTCTAAACATATATTGCCCTCCAAAATAGTTTCAACCAAATATGTAATATTTATAAAAGGAAGCGTGGCCTTGAAACGTGATGTTCACGTGCATATCCGAATCAGCTTTCTGACAGCAGGTGTTGTTTAAACATTTGTTCTACCTCATTTCTCACCTGCGCAGCAACAGTATGAGATCTGGTGGGAAACAGCTTTGTAACACACGCTGTATTAAATCCAGCCTCTGACAAACCAAATGCAGCCCGCAGACCTGCTCCTCCTGCACCCACAACAACTGCATCGAATTCATGGTCCACGACTGGATACTGCGTAGAAATCTGGAAAAATAAATCAGTTTATTATGATCACAAATATTTCAAGCTAGGTCAAACTTAAGTTTCATGGAGACACAAGCAGTATAGGTGTAATGTCCTTAATAGACTCTTGTAGCAAATGCCACATATACTCTTTTGGGTGGAAACTATCATTAAAAAAAGCCATGCGTTTCAGCAACTCAATCTCACTGCATATTTGAATAACGCTCCACCAAAAGCCAAGTACCTGGTTGTTTCATGTCTCTCAAGCATTTAGTGTGTTATCTAATTTGTTACTTAAGATATAAAGAAGTACAAACATACCGAATCAGAAACCTTCGTAGAAGCATTTTTCTTTCCATAGACTGTGAAGTGTAAGTTGCGTGCAAGAGTCTGGCATGCCGCTGGCCACTACGGAAAGAAGCAAAGACAACTATTATAGAACAAATGTTTCCACAAGGAAGACTTTCAGCATTCTCGGCTACCCTACGTTTATAACAAACCTTTACTTACCACTGATACCACATATTCAAGAATTATCGTATCAATGCATTTTAGTTCTACATGCAATGAAGTTCTGGCTCTCCCATATTGCTACCCAGAAAAAAAAAGTTTTGACTGGATGACAGAACAGCCTACAAGTAACAGGGTGTCACAGACTGTTATTCACTTCACTAACCAATCCCTAGACCTATCTGAGGCTGCACTGACAGAAGAATATGTTTGCAATTAATGCTGTAGTATTCTTGCATTTTTTTCCTAAATAAACCAAGATGAAGATAGCTTTATGGGAACCACAGGAATTAATGGAAAATACCTCTCATGTCAAGCAATCCTCAGAATTTGAATTATTTCAGGCGGTGAAGAGTAATGAAGATAAAATTAGTGGGTAGTGAAAGCTGTTCCAGCTTATCATTGCTTCAAAAGTCAGAGATACTTCTCTTGTTCTCATTCTTTATTAATTAGTGACCAATTTAGAACCATTTACTAATACCTAAATGAATCACAAGGGCACAGTTTTCCCCTTCTGTAATGTTATTCACTCTCCCCTGGCATGTTCAAAACCAAAACAAAAACCCCAGCACCCAAACCTACCCAGTATCCAATTTTTGCTTCGATAGGTTAAAACCATCAGAATTTTAGTCTCCACCATATAAATCTCTAATGTCATGGAACCTGGTATTCCTTCTTTACACCATTCAGAAAAATACACCTAATAACTCAACACGTATGATTGATGAGAACAGCAACACAAAGCCATACTAGTGACCTGTGCAGTGACGTCAGCACTTCCCTATTTGAAGTATGTCCTAAAATGCACTGGAGTGATACTTGCCTTTTCCAGCTACGGTTATATTCACAGTTCAATCACCCCATAATATGCTAACAAGCAGGTTTTCCCTCCCTATTACTTGCAAATGTCCATCTCTTCCCCCATCCTTGAAGTGAACTACAGTACACTTTCCTCAACCGACTTTTACTGCTTCTCATACTAGTTTCCCATCTTCTTGCATAACAGTGGATCTAATGCGTCATCATATTTACTAACACACTTCTGGTTTTTACAGCCATCTTTAAATGAGATCAGTCTTAACACCTATTCATAAGGAGTTCTACTAGTACCCTGCTCCAGGCAGTTACTTTCCCCCTTCCACCCTGCTGTGTTGTCACGCTGTGGGGCAATTCCATGCCTATCTTAATTCCTGTATTAATCATCTTCATTAATATTTCACATACAGAATCAGATCAACTAGTTCACCGACAGCCAGATAAAACCTACGTATCAGATGTAATCCCTCTGCAAAACAGCTTTCCCAACAATCACAGCTCAAGCTAAAATGGGGTGTCCTCTCTGTAGCAGAACCGCTTTCACAGGCTTGAGTGCAACTGAAGTTAGACTAGCAGAACTCTAACTGACATGGCAGACTACACTGCACACTTTAAACGTAGCGGCCATGCATTCTCTAGCATATACTACTACTGCTTGTTTCCGTAATGTCGTTCCAGCAACAGTACAGCTCTTTTTACTGCAATAAATTATTTCTCCTAGGGGAGCAACAATACATTTGGTTAATGCATGAAGCAATTCAAAGAAAATCTTTACTGGATGTAAAGACAGCACACAACAAACAGGTTTGTACATACTTAGTATTGCTTAAAGAAAGCGCAAATGACTGGGGGGGGTGGAAACCACCACCAAAAAAACCCCAAAAGCTATAAACTGTGGTTATGCCCTAAAGCCCCAAAAGAAATTGGCCCACTCTTTTTCTCCCCTCAGAGTAAACAGCCTGCTGCACTCTCCAGTCAGAATTCTGCCACAATGCCTTGCAACTAATTTCCTTTTAAAACACTTTGTTATTTTCTGAAGTCGATATAAACAGTTATCAAATATATTTTGCATCAGAGAACTCTGGAAATATATTATAAAAAAACAAAACCACACAACTGTTTAGCAGACTGCTTTTCCTTTCACATCTAAGCTTCCGCAAAACAGAGTTTTCAGAACTGCTATTCCTATCCACATTCACTTTTTCGTTAAAGCTATACATAAGAATTTCTGCTGCCACTAAGTTGTGTTCAGAATGAGTCTGAACGAAAGTCCACAAAGCAGAAAAAGATGTTACACTAAGTGTGAAGGAAACACTGATCACACACTAATCCTGAATTGGTATGCTACCAGGAACATCATGGCCCTTCAGAAGCCAAGGTCCAGTCTGGACCAGTTCACTGCCATCTAAAACATAGTGACACTCTTTGAGCCTTTCTCCCCCGCAGTAGGTTGTCTTTTCTGCACTTCCTTTGTGAGACAGGGACAACTTCAGCTGCATTTACAGGGTCCTTTTCCCATACATTTATCTTTTGTAATCCCAAACTCATTACGGACACACACAGTGAGAACGGTGGAAAGAAACAGAAGACTCCCACTTCATCACGGAGAAAAACAAGCCTTCACTAAGGACTGCTTACAGATCAGCTAAAACAAAACTGTCAAACGTTTAAGAAGCACTTTCTGGAAACAACTGCTAGCCAGATCTAAGCAACGTGCAGATATACGCTAGCTTCCCATGCAGACCCAGAAGGAGCCAGCAGCAAGCTTTATACCCAGGTGCTGCATCTGCCAGACTCTTCCAGAGCCTTTCCCCAGCACACCCCGTACCCGCTGCCTTCCTCTATCCCTCGGGGAGCCTGCTCACGGCCTAAGGCCACGGCGCTCGCTTCCCAAGCCAGGAGGAGCGGCCTGGCTATGCCAGCAGTCAGTTACCTCCCCGTAACCTGCCCCAGGAGCCGAGTAGCAAGGACAGCCACGCTCCGCAAAAACAACCGGAGGG